TCCAACCACAGGATTCAAACGCTAGCTCTTCACTGCTCCCGTCAAGGGCCCTGGCCTGAGGTCTCTCCACTTTGTGGCCACACTAAGGAATAGGACGGGTGGCCCGTGTGGTACAAGGGTGGGGCTTGGAGGGTGGAAGGGGCCCCTGAGGTCACCCCCATCACTAGGGAGCTGTGCTTGTTCCTGGGAAGCCTGAGCCCACCCCGGTCTGGTCACAGTCCCTATAGAGTACAGAAGCCGGGCTGGAGTCCCAGGCAGTGTGGTTGGAGGCAGGCTGGGACTCTGATTTTTGAGACAGGCCTGGCCTCTGGCTGTCAGCCTCTTCCCTGGACTGGTATAACTGCCTCCTAATTGACTCCCCTGCTCCACGTCCCCCCAGCTACCCGCCCCCCAGCCCACACCTGCCCCAGAGGTGGCTGTGTCAGAAGTCTGATGTGGACTCTGCCACGTCCCCGATGTGCCGTGGGCTCCCCATCTGTGTCTCAGCCCACAGGGCCCTTCTCTAGGGCGGCCCCATCCGCTCACATGCCCACTGGGGACAGAGCCCCGCGGTGGCAGTGCCCGTGGCGGGGAGGGCACCCTCCCTCACTCCATCCACTTCTGCAGCCGCCAGCTTTTCTCCAGAAAGCACGTCCTTGGTGATTTCCGAGAGTGGCAAATCGCCTTCTCTGGGAAGCCTTTTCCAATCGCTGCCGTCACCTCCGTGGGTGGCCGTGGGGCTCCCCCTCTGGGCTGCTTGGGACTGGGCGCTGCCTCTGTCCTGGGGCGCCACACGGCACTGCGGCCATTCGGTTCCTCGAGCATCTCCACCCGCCGTGAGACAGAGTCTTGTCCCCGTTGGTTCCTCAGCCCCCAGCACGGCCATAACTGCCCGTGGCCCTCATCCCTGTGGTGTGTCGGCCTCTTTGGTCAAAGTTTTGGTGGGAGAAGAAGCTGTTAATAGAATCCACATCACCTAAAATTAGGATCACAGTCACTACGTTCCATGTGTGTGCGTGTGCGTGTGTGTGCACGTGCCGGCTGTTCACACCCACGAGCACCGCTGACCTGCACTTCCCAGCGGCCTTGTGAGGCCGAGTGCCCGGGCGCTCTGGGATCTGAGCCCCGTCTGCCTTTCAGCTCCTTCTGCGCGGAGTTTGTGGGGGGCCTGGTGAAGTGGCTGCAGCTGTCCGAGGCCGTCTTGCCGACCATGACTGCTTTCGCCGGTGGCCAGGGAGGCGAAGGAGCAGACGTGTTCGCCCAGATCTTGTTGAAGGACCCCATCTTGAAGGACAACCCGCTGGTGATCGCTCAGGTACGCCTAATACCTGGTGGCAGCTGTCAGGCACAGTGGAACAAAGCATCGTCTTTCGGAGGCCGTCTGAAAATTGCTTCTAAGGGGAGCGAAGTGGTTGAAAGATAAAATATGTCCTCATAATATCACATTATGAGATGATCAGAGCTGATGTTGAATTATCCTTATTGAATATTTAGTATCTACTTAATGCTAATCTAGTAGTGTTTACTATGTGCTAGTACCTTTACAAAAAGTAACTCATGTAATTCTCAAAGCAATGTTATGAGGTAGGTAGTAGTTGAGAAAACTGAGGCACAGAGAGGTTAAGTAATTTACCCAAGGTCACACAGCTGAGAAATGGCCAGACCCGGACTTGAACCTCGGCGGTCTGACACCAGAGCCCACGTTTCCCCAAGGCACGGTGCCTCTTTTCAGAGCAGGAGCTCTGCCATGTGCCTTTGAGCATGTCACTCGCCCGCTGTGTGTGCAGTTAGGGCACACGGAAGCTGCGACACAGGCTGTCGATGGGGCAAGCGCGTCGATTTAAAACAGCCCCTGCCCTCCTTCATCTCGCTGCCCGGAGTTCTGGCGTATTTCTTTCCTTATCTGCTACTGGTTTATTATCTGGCTTGCCACTGGGGTCCAGGGCAGAGGCTTTGTGTCTGTCTTGTTCTCCATGGTAGGAGTTGATAAATATTGTCAAATCGCAGGCTGACTGCATATCACCTTGTCACTGATTCCATGCCTTTCCCCTCAGGACCTGCTGACCTTCTCCCTCCAGGATGGTAAGTCGATTTTCTAAGCTCTGTAAATTGTGGGTGTCCGTCTTCACCCCCAGCCAGTGAAGCCAGTGGTAGGTGCTGACACCTGGGGCCAGGTCCCCCATGGCCTTTTTGGCACAAGGAAGGACAGAGAGCCCAGTATCACTGGAGGGGGGGGGGGGGGCGGGACCTTCGTTCGTGCCAAGGCTGTGGGGTCCTTCAGCACTCGTGTCTCTGCTCCCCCACAATGGGCCCGCGGTTGTACCTCCTCTGTAGCTCTTGAATCTGGCCCTTTCCCCACCTCCACCCACCCCCTGGTCCGAGCCACCGCCACCCCTCCTGGATGACAGCGGGGTCAGCTCCCTGGTCTTCCTGCCACCACCCTGCGGCTCGAATGATCTTTTCAAAGGCCCATGTGACCGCACCACCTCCCTGCCGATCGCCTGTGCTGCACTCAGGAGAAAGGCAGGCCCTCTGGGGTGGCTCTTGAGGCCCTAGTGGGCTCGCCCCTGCCCCCTCCTAAGGCCCTAGTGGGCTCGCCCCTGCCCCCTCCGCCTCATCTCTCAATACAGTCGCCCCCTGCAGTGCAGCCCGAGCCACGCCGGCCTCCCGGCAGCTCCCGAACACGTGTGCTGCCTGCACTGCTGCGCCTTTGTACGCGCCCTTCCCTGGCTGGAAAACTCTTCCCGCCCCTCTCCGCCTACTTACTTTCTGCCTTTCCTTCATCCCTCCACGCAGTCATCACTTCCCAGGGAGGCCTTCCTGGTGTCCTGACTTGCACACGCCCAGGGCCATGCTGACCATGGTCACGGCTCTTCACTTCCTTATGTGATTCCTTGATCAACGGGTTTCCCCAGCAGACCAGAGGCTCCACTCGCGCGGGGTCTATGTCTGATTTTGTTCACTTCCCAGGCCTGAGACAGCGCCTCGCACATCTCACACACTCAGTAAATACCTATTGAATGAACTGAGATAGATCTCATGGCCCCGTTTGATGGATAGGGAAGTCAGCTCAGAGAGGTTAAGCAGTTTACCCAAGGTTGCTCAGGAAGCGGCCATGTGGGATTCCACCTGTTAGTTTCCTAGGGCTGCTGTGACAAATGAACAGAAACTGGGTGGCTTGAAACAACAAGACCTTTATTCCCTCCCTGTTCTGTTGGCCAGAAGTCTGAAATCGAGGCGTCAGCAGGGTCACACTCCCTCTGAAGCTGCAGGATAGAATCCTTTGTGCCTCTTCCAGCTTCTGACAGCTCCAGGCGTACCTGGGCTTGTGGCAGCATCGCTTAGGTGTCTGCCTTCATCTTCCACAGCCTTCTCCTCCTCCCTTCCCCCTCCTCCGTGGCTCTCTTACAAGGATGCTTCCCGCAGGGCAATCTCATCTCCAGATCTTTAACTTAATTGTATCTGCAAAGACCCTTTTTCCAAATAAGGTCACATGCGAAGGTTCCGGGACACTGACAGGGCCACCCCTCAACCCGCTGCACCAGCCCAGGGGGTTCGCCCCGGGAGCAGCTCCCACCCCACTTCTTCCCACCACCTCCCCTCCGCCTGGGATCCCCTGTTACCGCGTATGTGGCTTCTTTTATCCTCTAAACTGGGGAGAAGTTTTGGCACAAGGAACTCTGGTGTTTACTCTGATGGCAAGCTGAGAGAGGGAATACCACCTTGCAGATGAGATCTCCAGCCACCGCCAAACCCTGAAATAGGGAAACCTGTGCCGTCTCCCCGCTAGAACCCTGCGAGTGCGCAGAGGAAGAGCGGAATTTCAAGAGCAGGAGCTTAGGCAGGAGAGAGCCCCCAGGAAGGCCGGTGGGCAGCAGCGCGGCGGGCAGGGCTTGGGCCAGGTGGCGTCTGGGCGGGCCGAGCTGGGGAGGGGAGCAGGATGGATTTCCCAGGTCTGGCAGGTCTGAGGACGCACAGCCTCAGCAGGGGCAGCAGAGAGAGCACAGGGAGAGGCTGCTCCAGGAGTCAGCTGAGGGAAGAGACCCCAGAATCGCGACAGGCCAGAGAGAGGGTACGGGAGCCAGAGGGGACTCAGGTGATTCTGGAATCCTGGTTGCTGGTGCCAGCTGCCAGGGGATCGGGGTCCTGTCCCAGGAATTCTGGCATTTGTCTCCAGTGACCCTTTTATAGCAGATGGTGGTCGGAGAACCTGAGAGGGTAGGGAGCTGGGACCCCCTCAAGCCCGCACAGCAGGTCGTGTGCACTGTTTCTCGTGCTTGCTTGTTAGTGCCTGTTTGCTTAGCCCAGTCAGTGTCTTCCAGGTGGCAACACGGAGGTCCTCCTACCTTGGGACTTGTGTTATGAGAATAATAAATTTTCTTTATTGTTTTGACCTCTAAGACCTTACTACTCCTCGTGG